AGACTATAGCCATTTTAATCCTTTTGTCAACAGTCCTCCATCAAACAAACAACCATTTCAACAATCCACATACATACTGAAATTTCAATGAAGATGATCAAAATCAAAAAAAAACAAGAAAGAAAGAAGAAAAAAAAAAAAAAAAAAAATTCAAAAAAAAAACGCTAGAAATGTACTAACTTGTCCTGATCGCCTTCGTAGTAGAACATAGCGAAAGGTATGACGAAGAAGATGAGAAGAGGAGATCAGGCGTCGGCCCAGGGCCGGCCCTGGGGGATAGGCCACAAGGCCATGGCCTAGGGCCCCTCAAAATAGAGTTAAAAAAGGGACCCCTCCTATTATAATTTAGTGTAAAATATTAGGTATGTTTGAAGTCTAAAAAAATTAAAAAAGGCCTAAACTAACTTAAAATAAATTGATCCATTAAAAAATTGAAAAGTCATTCAAAAAAATTAGCATTATTATCCATTGAAAATAGACCTAAAAAAGGGTCTCTCTTATTATAATTTAGTCTAATATATTAAGTATATTTTAAATCCAAAAAAAATTAAGGAAGTCCCAAATTAACTTAAATAAATTAATCCATTAAATAATTGAAAGGCCCATTTAAAATAATTAGCATTGTTATTCATTGAAAATGATTTTGCAAAAAAATTAGATTATGCAAGTATGATTGATTTATTTGTTTCTAAAAATACAAAAATAGTGAGAATCAAGTGATACTTATTAGTTATTGTAATGTAATGCTAAGTATTTTTTGTGATTTTCACACAAATCTTGTCTTTTACTTTAAAAAAAAAAAATTCATTCAATGAAAAAAAAATGTGAAGGGCCCCAAAAATTTATTAGTTGATTATTGGCTTTGGGTCCTGAAAATCTCAGGGCCGGGCCTGCGTCGGCCTTTGTGCAGTCGTAGCCGCGGCAGCAGAAGACTTTTGGCGAGTGTACGCCGAAGTTCCGCGAACTGTGTGGAGCATCTCTCGACGGAGTTGGTTTTCCAGCACGACGGAGAGGCCGAAATCGGAGATTTTCAATACCCTAGCCTTATTGCTCCGTCGTCGTCGTCCTCGAAAAGCTGACTACGATTTCTGCTAGACCTGAATCGTCCGGCGACCTGCTCATGACGATTCGAGCGATGGCGTTTTGAAAGTCGACGGCGTCGTTGGGGACAGTGGCGACAAACTCAAGAAGAGAGAGAGAGAGAGAGAGAGAGGGTGACACAGAAAAGAAATGACACGTGAGATCTGAAATAGGGACAAAAATAAAACGCATGGGAGGGGGCAGAGTGGTGAAGGGATATAATATAATATGGTGTTTTGAAAAGTTAGTAAAAAGTTAATTTTTTGATATTTTTAGTTTATTTTATTTTTTTGTAAGTAAAAAATGTAAGAGGTGATGTAATAAAAAAATGAGTAAAAAGCTAAAAATCGGCTTTTTTTTTTTTGCTTCTCAAAAGACTCCAATGTTTCAAAGGGTAGATATTTAAATAAAAAAAATTTAAATTTTGATTTATAGATCGAATGATTTTTTTTATTATTTATATATTTCTTAAAATATGGATTGTTTTTAGAAAAAAATTTCAAAAACAGTTTTCATAAATAATTTATCAAAACAATCCACCGTCATTCATTAATTTAACCCCGTCATTTATTAATCTTTTCCAGTTCAGACCTTCATAACAAAATAAGAGCAATTGCAAATTAGTGGTAAGACAAAAAAAATTACAAAATCATGAAAAAATTAATCACTTCAATTATTACAGTTTGTAAATTTTACCATTGATTTGTAATTTGTTTAAAAGCTATGTCATAAAGAATTAGGATCTTTTGTAACTCTACAGCACCGTCAGTTTGAGGGATGGAAAAGAAAAAGAGGGGCGATTATGCCTACGTTTGGGAAGTGGGTTGGTTTTTTGACTTTTTGGCTTTTTTGGCTATTTTAGCCTGGGCTAAAAAGCTTGGTTTGGGAAGGGCTTTTTGGCTTTTTGGCTTTTTTGAATTTTTTTGTGAGAGAAGAGTGTAATGATTATGGGTTGGATGTGATGTTTTGTTTTTTGTGGCTAAAATAGCCTATTTTGTCTTTTGTGGCTAAAATAGCCAAAAAAGCCCCAAAATTTTCTTCCCAAACGTAGGCTATATATATTTTTTAAATATTTTTTTTTAATTCCAAAATGATATCATTTTAAGCAACTATAGACAATGTAATCCATAGAATTCATATTAAGAATGCATAACCTCTCTCACACTTTTTAAATTGAATCTTCCAATCAATTGCAAAGAAATCCAAACTATTAAGCCTATATACATATTTTGTATAAGCATCTGATTGATAATAGTCTCCTTGTAACACCACGGAACAATGTGAAATGCCAGACAGTTGAATTGCAATTGATCACATTTGGAAGTTGACTTTGTATCTTAGAATTTTAAAAGAACAAGTAAAAAATAAATATTTTATTTTGTTTATAATTTCCTTCTTTTTAAAATTATTTTTCTTGACAAATCTTTCCTCAAATTATATAAAGTCGAAAAAGACCTCAATAAAATAGTAATACGAAGTTCCACAATGATAAGCGTTACTTCCTATTTCAGTTATCGAGCTAAGTGTGTCCAGAGTTGGATCCCTCTTGGGACGGTCAAGCCATTATCTCTGACATCCTCCAAGCTTGAGTTCATAAAACAATATCACTTTCAGCTGGTCCCCTAGAGAATGTAACCGTGTCGTTCATTGGGTTGCCTCTATGAACCTAAAGGGCTCGCTTCCTTTAGACTGAGTTGCACATTCCCCTTGTGAGCCTTATGCTCTTTTATCTGCGGATGTTCTGTAAGCCATTTGGCATTTCCATGTTCAAAAAAAAAAAAAAAAAATGATGCTGCTTCCACCCAAAATGAGTGTTGGCTCTATCATTAGATTATTAAAATCGTCGCCAAAGGTCCCTCTTTTTTTACAAAGTCCAAAATTTTGAGTTATTTGTCTAAACATGCAGTCAAACAAATCCCTTGTCCAAAAGCACTTATTGGAGTTTTAATTACAAAAATAAAAGAAAAAAGCAACAATAATAACAATATTGTAAAGAAAGCACCACATCCCCTAAAAATAATTTCAAATCTTATTATAAAAGAAAATTGTGAGATCTCTAGAAATTAGAGATTTGAAAATGAAGAATATAAAATTTATACTGTGTTTGGATCATGAATGATAAAGATTTAAAAAGAGAAAAAGAAAATATAAGTGAAATCCATGATTTAAACCCTTAATGAAATTTATGATCCAAACATAGTCTTAATTGATTTAATGATTACAAGGGCAAGGAAAAAATAAACAGGGTGATAACAGGATATCAAATAAGGTAGCTAAAACATTGAGAGATTCAAGAATAATTTTAGATAGCTTTTCAGCAGAGTAAAGATGCTTAGTAGAAAAAGAAAAAAAGAAAAAAGAAAAAAAAATCTTCGCAGAATCACAGTAAAAATTCAACTAATAACTAAAAAAGAGAGGAGGCAAATTCATATTTGGCATCATGTCTACTATATTAAAGCATGAGTAGTTATTTTGAGTTGTATAGTACATTACAGAACTAATTTGCATGAGCTTAAATTTCAAAATTGATTAATCAAATGTGAAAGCAAAATAAAAACAAACGAAGAGGGCAAATTCATACTTCTTGTCAAGTGGTTAATGCGCAAGAGGGGAATCAACATTGATATTGCGTGTTCCAGATGTGGAGAAGAAGAAACATTAGAACATGTATTCTTTTAGTGCCCTATAACCAAGCGAATTTGGAGAGGAACATCATTGGGACTAGATTTTTCAAGGGGTCGCACAGTGAATTTTCCTCAATGGAATCAACAGTAGTCAATGCAAGTGAAGGACAAGGAAATAATCATCGAATCAATTGCAATCCTATGGGCCATTTGGTTGCAACGCAACAGTTACTCTTTTGACAACATCCCAATGACAACATCAATTGCAATCCTATGGGCCATTTGGTAGCAACACAACAGTTACTCTGTTGATAACATCCCCGTGACAATATCGCAAGCTATCAATGTGGCAACAGAACTGGGAAAAGGCGTAAACAGATGGCATTTCTTTAAACTAAATCTTTACCAAATGAGCACAATATCACATGAAAAAGATTTAGATGATCAAATTTTTCTTGCAAACTCCAATAATAACATGGCAGGAAATCAGATCTGGACCTTTGCACTGGATGGATCATGGAAGGCAGACAGGCACAGCTGGAATTGCTTGGGTCTGTCACAACCACAACCGTAACAAGATAGCAGAGCAGGCACAACAACTGCATCTACCATCCCCTTTGGCTGCGGAAGCAAAGGCGTGTTTTGAGGCGATAACTTGGGCAAGGATGCAGCAAATGGAATATGTTTTCATATATATGGATTGCCAAATTTTGGTTACTATCCTAAAAGACAAACAGCAACCAGACTGGGATGTAGAAAATATTATATCAGATATTAAGTTACTTAGCAAGTATTTTAGGTATCTTTGTATTGTAAAAGTTCCCAGGTATGTAATCCAACCAGCCCATCAGCTGGCAAAACATGTAAACTTTGGCTAATTACCATGGAATGTTTTTTCTGGAAAATAAATAAATAAAAATCAAGAGTTATTAAATATTGAGACTATTATTATTAAATATTGAGACTATTATATGCATTACTTTTTGAAGTTTATGATCATAAGCATGAGTCAAATAATCTATACAAGAACACGAGACAAGTCTTTTAATAGAAATCCTCCATGGAAAATAAATATATACCTTTCACAAAACTACATATCTGGAAGAAAAAAAGAAGGAAAGATAAAATTTCAGAGCAATAAAAACAGACCTTTATATAAAAAGCAATATCTAAGCAAATATGAGTTGAATCAACTAACAAGTTACAACAATTATCAATAAAGCACATATATCAATGCAACAACTTGACTCGTTATGATACCTTAGAAAATAAAGTACCTCCAAAAAACCTAGGTGGTTACTTGGAAAATGAAGTAATTCCAAAAAATGCATGAAGCATTTCCTTTGATGAATTATCTAATCCATCGTCAGATAACATGTTAACTATAATGGTTGTACTGCGTGCGTTCACAGGGATAGCTCTATCATCCATTACGTGAAGAAGTTGCAATGCTTTCTGTGTTCCGTTATTTCGTAGAAATCCTTGAACCAATATATTATACGAGTAAAAATCTGGCGAGCATCCTCCTCCTTCCATTTTCCTAAGCAACTCACTTGCTTCATCAAGTAGCCTTCCCTTGCAAAGTCCAGCGATCATTATATTGTATGTGCGGATAGTAGGTTTAAACCCTTTAGCAGAAAGACTCAAGCAGAGTTTCCTTGCATCATTGAGTTTCCCAGCTTTGCACATACCGTCAATTAGGTTATTATAGACAACAATATTAGGAACTAATCCAGCTTTTTCAATCCTTTCAAACAATGCCAATGCCTCATCGAGATGTTGGTTGTTGCATAGGCCATCCAGAAGAATAGAGTGTGTAAACAGATCAGGAATTTGGCCATGAGTTTGCATCTCATCAAGAAGCAAAAGTGCATCTATCTGGAAGCAATCTTTTTCTAGACATTTCCTTAAAGAGACTCATGGCTTCATCTATGTTTTTGATCTTACAGTAACCATTAATCAAGATATTATAAGTGATAGCATCAGGAGCACAACCCCTACTGACCATAACATCATACATTTTCCTTGCATCATCTGCTTGGCCACAAAGACAGTACCCATCCATTACAGAATTATAAGTGACAACACTAGGCACCACACCTCTTTGGATCATCAATTCAACCACATCTTGTGCTTTTTTGGCCTTTCCTTCTTTACAAAGTGCATCAACTAAAATGTTAAAAGTTTTAACATTTGGCCAGATTTTCTTACCTACCATTTCATTCAACAATCTTGTAGCTTCTTCCCACTCACCTAAACTAGATACACCTTGAATTAATGACGTGTAAGTGATGACATCTGGTGAAATAACTTTACCTATCATTTCCAAAAAGAGCTTGAAAGCCTCGGTTACTAGTCTGTCCTTGCAAAGGCTATCGATGACCATGCTGTATTGCACTAGTCCAGGCTCAAAACCTCCTATTTTTTCCATCTTTCTAAGCAAAAGAATAACAGCACTAGTGTTTCCAATTTTGCATAGTCCATTCATTATAATGCCACAAGTAATGACATTGGGTTGGAACCCATTCTCCACATTTTCATCAAAAAACTTTAGTGCGGAAGCCTTGTTACCATTAAGACAAAACCCCTTGATAAGGGTATTGAAGGTTTTGGTGTCTGGTTCATAACCAAGTTTCAATATTTTCCCAAAAACAGAAAAACCCAAATCAACTCGATTCAAGTTACAGAAACAATTAATCACGATGTTAAGTGTACAAAAATCATAGAAATCCAATTTTGTAAACAGAGAAATCGCAGTGGAATAATGCTTTGATTTGCAATTGAAGTTAAGAGTTGATTGAATCGAAGAATTGAGGGCAAAGGTCGCATTCGAAGCATGTGATCGAACTGAGTTAGGGCATCGTCAATGTTAGCAAACCCGTATTGGAATTGGAAATTCTGTTTGGAAGACAAACAAAAGTGGGTTTGGGAATGAAATAAAGCTAAAACACAAGGGAATGAAGTGAGAATACCTTTTTGAAGATCACAAACACCACCTCTCAAAACCACACTGGCTTTTGGGATTTTCTGCATCATCATCGTCAGCTTCTCTCTCCAAAACTCTCACTCTCTCCCTTAGAGCATCTCCAACCCAATCCTCTCACCAAGACGATGAGAATAATTTTTTTTATTCAAAAAGTAAATATAGAGTAGGTTACTATTCATTCAACCTCTAATCGCAAACTTTCAAAATCCTTCATCCTTCCTTTGTCAAAAAGTAATTTTGATCATTAACAAATATTTAATTTTAAAACTTTTGTAAAATATATTTAATATTATACTCATTTTAAAGGTATGATTTCACATTTTTTAATGATGCCAATTTTATAAAAATTAAATTTACATACTAAAAGTTATTTGTAATATAATAGAAAATATAGAATGAATAGTATTTTGTAGGGTATCCTCTATTTTTCATCTTCCCTTCATATTTGGAGGATCAACTCATCCTCCTCCTAAATAGAGATGGATTTAGAGGATGGGTTGGAGAAACAAATCCTTCATATTTGAAGTTATGAAGGATGCATTGGAGATGCTCTCACACTCGTATACGGGCACTAGCTTTTCTATTTTAATTTATTTATTTTTTTTATGCTCTAAATAGAGCCAAGATATTCCATAATTTTTCTTTTTAAATAAATCACCGATCGTTATTACTTAAAATATTTTCCATATTTATTACTTTTAAAAAAAAGAGTAAATTACTAATACATATATGTTGAGATTTGTTTGAAATATGAATTGCTTTATATGATTTAAAAAATTACATTACACCTTTATATATATATATATATATCAATTGGTATACTAATTAATGTACTAATAGATAATATAACATAATTTTGAAAATTTTAAATATTTATAATTTGTATAATGAGTGAGATCAGTAATAATATTATAAAAAATATTAATACGCTAAGCCATTGTTTGGGAAGTGGGTTTGGGTGTATTTGGGGCTAAAACAGTCACAAAAAATAAAGTAGACTTTTTAGTTTTAATAAGACAAAATATCACATCTAACTCATAATTATTACATTCTTTCTCTCACAAAAAGTTAAAAAAATCAAAAACCTTTCTTAAATCAGATTTTTTAATCTCAAACTAAAATAACTAAAAAAATAAAAAAATAAAAAAATTAACCCACTTCCCAACCCAAACGTAATTGATATGCTGTGCATATAGTACCACCATTATACAATAATACTAGGCTGACCGCCTAATTTTACCACTTTTATTTCCCACTGTAGTTGACATTTCCCACGTCATTCTAGCAGCCACAATCCCATAGGGCACATTTCATATTCCGGTATCAGGATCCGCTAGAATGGGATTCGTGAAGTGATCTCCTAAATGAAAGATTTAATGGTTTAAAATAAAATTAATCTTTGATAAGTAATTTCAAAATAAAAATAAAAAAATAGAGAGATCACACACTCTCTCTCTCTCTACAGTTCACTCGCTCTCCAACTCCTGTTGTCAGAAACAACTACTTCTCGCCGAAAAACCTCATTTTCGGCCACAAAATGACATTTCTCTCAACCTGATCTCCTTTCTCTATCTCAAAAGACAACTCTTTTTGTCAGAAATTCTAACCCTAAAACAACCAATTCAGTGATTTAATTCCAAACAGGAACAATTTAAAAAGAGAAAAAAGCTATCTTCTTCAGAATTGAGTCACTTTTACAACAAGTTTTGCATAAAAAGAACAAATACAACCATCAAAAGAAAAGAATCAAAGCTACGCAGTCACAAACCCACATAGAAATCGTTGATCATATATCATTTTCATGTTATTTTCTAATATTATATAAGCATTGAACATTCAAATTGACATTCAAAGACCCCCAATTGCAAAATTGAAGTTGAATTAAGCTAATTGATACCTGTCATTCAAAAGATTCTTCACAGCAACACGAGTACTATCAGCTAACACACCACCATAGACGATACAATAACCACCTTCATCGATCACATTCTCATCAGACAAGCCATTCGTAGCCGCCTCAAGCTCCCTCAACGTGTACCACCGCCCCCATCTTAGATGCGACACCTCCGCCATCGAACCGCCGCCTCCAAACGACGCCGTGTTGTTGCCGTTCGTCGCTCGGCTCTCACCGCTCGACAGTCGATTGGAGAAGACGACCCTGTGCTTGGCCTTATCGACATCGATTTGGATGTCCGGCACGGCGATTGGGCGATGATCTGGTGCAGCGTCGTGGACGATCTCCTGGATTTCCTTGGAGACAACCGGAGTGAGGTCAAGCTTGGGGTGGTGGAGGAGCTTGTGGGATTTGCAGTGGCGAGAGGTGATGCGAGTGAACTGTAGAGAGAGAGATCTCTCTATTTTTTTTTTTTTTTTTATTTTTATTTCTAACCAAAAGAACTTTATTTTCATCCGTTGGGTTTGAATTTGCACTGAAAAGTATTTAAATTTTTTTATTTGTTTTGTAAAAAATTTTTAAAAATTAATTTGATAAAAAAATAAAAAAGATGCTCACTATTTTTATGTGATTTATATATAAAAATAGAAATGATTTTTAAATTTTTTAAAAAGAATATTTATTTTTATCAAATTAGTTTCTATTTTTTTTATAAAAAAAAAATTCAAAATTTAAAAATTCAACCAAACAAAACACTAATTCAAATTATCATAATTTATATATAGTACACACTCCAAATAAAAGTGAATATTGCAGAAGGAATCGAATAAAATAATTTCCAACATTTTTATTTTACTGCCTGTTTTAATGAATGAAATGGAATTGTTAGTCATTGTATTCATATGAACTAGTCATTAGTTTAACTAACTAGCATTTTTATTTTCAGATTTAAAAACTAACATTCTGAAGCTAATTCATCAATAAAATTCACAACAATCTAAAGCAATTAAGAATTGTACAATTTACTTCATAATTGTGTTCAAGAAATCCAAGCCATCAACACAACAATGTACTGAAATTTCATAACTAGGCTATGCATTGATAACATAATAAGTTAATTGAGTTTAGAAGTCTAAAGCGTCATTAGATCAGGTTACAGAAAAAGTGAATCTAACTGAATCATTTTGCTAGCCTTTATGCTGTGTTTAGTTGGGATTTTTGGGGTGGGATTTGGAAAAGGAATGAGAAATGTAATCCTATTTATGTTTGGTTATAATAAAAAATATATGGGAAAAGAAAGGGGGTGAGAAATAAATAAAGAAATAGGAGACCTTTTAGGACATCAATTCTATTTTATAACCAACACAACCAAACATAGTTGGGATTTGGAATTCTATTAATTCTTTCTCCTTTTCCTTTCATTTCCATTTCCCTTTCCATTTCCCTTCCCAAATCCCCCAACCAAACACAGCGTTACACACAAAAATTCAATCATAAGAAAATATTAATCCTTCAGAAAAGTTAAGCTTCCATCGTTAACAAAACTAAAAATGGTCTTCATGCTCAATTAAGTAGATGGTCTCCATGACAAGCATTTTGTTGATCTCCATGCTCATCCCTGAAAAAACATATAAGATGGTTCAATCAAGTTGGTGTAAAAATTCCAATGTTTCATTGACCTGCACATTACATATATAACCATGGAAGTTATTATATAACAATCTCAAAAGACTACAATAGAAGAAAATAGTAGTACCATATTTGGCTGCCCATATTGACTGATCCCATATATATTAGGTTGGCCATTCATGGTGGACCATGTGAGCGATCCCCAGAACCCGTGTGTTTGAAGTGATTATTGCAGATCAGAAACCTAACATATACAGTATAAGTTGTTGTAATGCGCTTCAAACTCAGCACAACCTATCGATCATACTATCAATAGTATTGTAGTCTCAAAATCTAAACAATAATAATTACATTAAAGTTTGAATTTTCTTGTGTTCGAGGCACATCAAATATTTCTGCAGGAGTTGTTCCATACTGACTTCCTCACAATCTTTTACTTGCCAATCCTACAAAATACAAGATAGCAACATTTAACAATCAACATTAACTGAGTTTCAATTAGCAGTATTTCAAAGTTACAACCTTCACTATAGGGTCATGCTCCGGAGCTCTAATTAGAGCTGCAACAGTGCAGCTCTAATGAGCTATCACCTAAAAAAAAAAAAAAAAAAAATAGTGAAGTAAAAGACAAAAAAGAGGGAAGAAAAAGACAAATTAGAGATGCATTAGAAGTCCTTTTTTAGTGGTTCAAATCATTTTTGTTCATATGTCCCTTGCTAGTTGAAGCCTCTGTTTTCTTTTCCTTGCACCTTTTTCTATTGACAGTCTTTTTAATTGCCTTTTCAACATTAGATTGCTTCCTTTAATAAGGAGGTTGCCCTTTGCATCGTACAGCTACAGGAGTAAGCACATGATTGTTCTCTTTTGAAATCCCAACACTGTCTATTGTTTGATTGCTACGAGGAGCGTCATCCTCCTTTTTCAGACCATCTCCTAGAGTGTTTTTGTTTTGAAGGATTAGGGTGGGAGATTGGACTATTGATCCTACCAGACAAATAGTTTATTGTTTGTTTCATTTTTTTTTGTTTCAGAATAATAATCCCCCCGAACTATTAGTTCCATATTTGTGGGACTATCCTATTCCATGGGGGTGGGTGGGATTGTTTCCATGGGATACCAATCCCATGGAATTAGGCTCTGAAATGTTTATTTTATCCCATGCTATTACTTAGCAAACAATTAAAAAAGAGTAAAATAGTTTTTTGAACATTTATAAATTATTTTTTTAGTGTTGTTAATTTAAAATTATATATTAAATAAAAAATTTAAATTATAAATTAAATTTAATTAAAAATAATATAAATTATAGATTACAAATTTAAATTATATATTAAATAAAAAATATAAATTATAAATTTAATTTAATTGAAAATAATAAATTAAAAATTATGGCCTTATAAATTAAATTTTTTTAGTGTTGTTAAATTATAAATTATAAATTATAGATTACAAATTTAAATTATATATTAAATAAAAAATATAAATTATAAATTTAATTTAATTGAAAATAATAAATTAAAAATTATGGCCTTATAAATTAAATTTTTTTAGTGTTGTTAAATTATAAATTATAAATTATAGATTACAAATTTAAATTATATATTAAATAAAAAATATAAATTATAAATTTAATTTAATTGAAAATAATAAATTAAAAATTATGGCCTTATAAATTAAATTTTTTTAGTGTTGTTAAATTATAAATTATAAATTATAGATTACAAATTTAAATTATATATTAAATAAAAATTATAAATTATAATGGTAAATAATCTTTTGAACATTTATCTTTATCTAGTCCGTCTAACCAAACATTGGAATCCCATGACTAAACAAACATAGAATATAAATCCAATCCAACCAAATAGTCGGGGACAATATATCCCAAGACTAACAGTCCGATGGATTATAATCCCCTCTTATCTAGTCCGTCTAAACAAACATACCCTTAATGCACATATCCACCTCATCACTTTGTCACAACGCAGTATCTGTTGCCAAATCAGCAGCCTTGCGGAAAGCATTGCACAGGTTATCAAAACGACGAGCTTCACGTTTGGTAGACCAATTGTCATAACAGATTCGAACTTTGGTGTGGCTCCTCTTGACAAGTTTACTCCATCTTTTCAATAGGTACTTATGTGGATAAATCTTCTTATGAAGAAATACTGCAATTGCATGTATGCACAATATTCCCTTACACTGAAATAATCGACAATTGCAATTCACTTTTTTGGCAACCATTATTTAACCACACCTTGAAAGTTGCATGGGGATGACTTTCTCCATATGGTATGTCTTCACCTACTTCATATTCTAAAATATCAACTACTTCACTTTTTTGGTAACCATTATTTAACCAAACCTTGAAGGTTGAAGTTTTCTATTGCATTTGTAAAATCCAGATCTGTATTGACTCAATCATGGTTATGATCAAGTACAATAGAGTTAATTCGCCATTTCCCATTAAAAAGATATGCTCTAAGCTTAGCTGTGCAATCCGTTTAAGATATCAGATGGAATTTAACTGGGTTGCTTGATTTGTTCTGTGACTTAATAAGCAAATTTTACATACCTCAACTCTCCATCATTTCCCCTCCTGGAGGTTCTTTTACTAATTTTGTAGAAATTTTTTAGTAATTTTTTTGGAGTCTCTAGCATTTACTCAATTACAAAATATACTTTTTATCTTTAATTTTAACACTTTGGTTGGGTGGTATATAATTCACTGGTTTGATTCAGTAGATTAATGTGGATTGGAATGGAATGCTTGTTCTTTAACTCCTTGCCAGAATATCTATTTAGCATTATATACTTAAATTATTTTAGTAATTTTTTTTTTCTTTTGATTTGATTCATATAAGATATTATAATGAAGTGCAATGAATTACAATAACAATGAAAATTAAACACAACATATATAATCGATACAAACAATTAAACTCTTAAAGTGGAGAGAAAACCCCAATTAACTGAATTTCACTATTTATACAAGTAAATTTTAATATAGCATTTTGATAGTTATATATATGGAAGCATACTTTTTATTTTTTTTATGAATATCTGAAAAAGCCCTATGTTAGGGTTTTTTTCTAGGTTCTTGAAAACTCATTCCAATTAATCAAATATGATTTAAGAAACTAAACAACACCATAATGAATACTTGCACAGCAAAAGACACTGATATAAAAAGATTAGAATATCAGAACGTACCTTGACGGCACACCTACAATGGTGGAACAAGCAGACTTCTTTCAAGAATTAAGATGTGTCTCAAGGCAGTAAAAATAATTTTATGGCCTTCTCTAATTCTGAAAGATGAAAACTCTTTCACCACACGGTGGGAGAACAACAAGAATGCAAAGCCAAATAATGGTGGTCATGTGAAATTGAAAATAAATAGGAAGAGAAAGTGGTAAACCTTTTATACTGATTATTTGAAAGAAAAAAAAAAGACAAAAAAAAAGACAAAAAAAACGAAACAAAATGGAGTGATTATAAACTACTTAACAAAGTGGAAACATGGCCTGGTGGTGGTTAGAAAAAGTCAACTTTCTGTTCATAACAGGTTTGGTGGTTCAACTGGATCCGAACCTAAATGATGTGTCAATCAGTTGTACTAGATGGTCCGGTCCGACTTTTAAAACACTGAAATCAGAATTTCTTCTACTTCATGCTTCCACCGAGAAATCCAACTCAGAATTTCTTCTTGATTGAGTCATCTCTGAAACTTTCAATCAGAGACAAAATCACAAACAAAGACAATTACAAAATGAAACAAAAACTGGGCTCCTCTTCAATTGTTACGTCTGGAGACTAGTCAAGGCAGCAAGTCTAAAGAATTACTTTCCAAGGGATTGGGAACTCCTCTTTCATAGCATACAACCACATGATGTAGTTGTTGGTAGTGTTTGGATTGCCAGAGACTCAACCGCAAGCAATACAAAGATTCAACTGCTCCATCATAAATTGAGCAACCTCAAGAGGTTAGTGGTGTTTGCCCCCCAAAAGCTCAATGTTTCTGTTGGACCAGATACTCCTAGCTAAATAAAATGGGGTGATTATAAAATATTTAACAAAGTGGAAACATGGTCTGCTGGTTGAAAAAAGTCGATTTTTCATTCATAAAAGGTTTGGTGGTTCATCTAAATCAGAACCTAAACCAGACAATGTGTCAACCGGTTGTACTGACTGGTCCGGTCCAACATTTAAAACACTGGTATTAACAATCCTGCTACTTACTTCATGCTTCCATCTAGAGCTCCAAATGAGCATCCTCAAGCAGCTCTATTAAGTTCATTGATTGAGTCATCTCTGAAACTTTCAATCATAGACAAAATCACAAACAAAGACAACTAGAAAATGAAACAACCAAACTTGTTATTGAGAAAACTGAGCTTCTCTTCAGTTGATATTTTTGGGGACCATGTGAGAGAAACTAGTTTAAAGAATTGCTTTCCAAGAAATTGGGAACTTCATAGCATAAACAATATGATGTAGTTAGCAGAATTTGGGTTGCCCCAGGACGAAACTGCAAAACAATACAAAGATTCAACTGCTAAGTTCCATAGAACAAGATATAACGTTTAAACTAGAAATTCCGAGTACAAGTAAGGTGTTCTATATCTCCATCATCTATGGCCAATATTGATGTTTATAAAAGGAGAAGCTCAAGGATAGACATAGATCTATTAATGTCTCTTCAACCATGTGTTCGGATCCATGAATTCAATACAAACTTGAGAGATATTAGAGCAGAAGAAAAAAAAAAAAGACGAGGCAAAATCACATTTGGCATCATGTCTTTTATATCAAAGCATGAGTTATTATTAAATATTGTGACCATTATATGCCTTACTTCTTTAAAGTTAATCATAAACATTAACAACTTTTTGCATCAAATAATCTCTACAAGAACCCGTGAGAACTCCTTTAACTAGAAATCCACCATGGGAAAAAAAAAAAAAAACCTAACTTTCACAAAACAACATATGTGGAAAAAAAAAAGAAGCATGAAAATTTCAGAGCAAGAAAAACAGACCTTTATATAAAATGCAATATCTAAGCAAGTATGTATGAGTTAAATCAACTTTCAAGTAACAACAATTATCAATAAAGCATATATATATCAATGCAACACCTTGACAATGAAGTAGTTCTAGAAAACCTAGGTGGTTACTTGGACAATGAAGTAGTTCCAAAAAACGCACTAAGCATTTCCTTTGACAAATGATCTAATCCATCATCAGACAACATGTTACCTAGCAAGGTTACAGTGCATGGGTCCACAGAGATAGCTCTATCATCCATTATGTGAAGCAGTTGCAATGCTTTTTGTATTCCATTATTTTGTAGAAATCCTTGAACCAATATATTATATGAGTAAAAATTTGGTGAGCATCCTTCTTCTTCCATTTTCATTAGCAGCTCGCTTGCTTCATCAAGTAGCCTTCCCTTGCAAAGTCCATTGATCATTATATTGTATGTGTGGACATCAGGTTTCAAACCTTTAGCAGAAAGACTCAAGTAGAGTTTTCTTGCATCATCGAGCTTCCCAGCTTTGCACATACCCTGAATTAGGTTACTGTATATCACAATATCAGGAGCTAGTCCAGCCTTTTCAAGCTTTTTAAACAATGCTAATGCCTCATCAAGATGTTGGTTCTTGCATAGGCCATCCAAAAGAACAGAGTAAGTAAACAGATTAGGAATTTGGCCATGAACTTGCATCTCATTACAAAGAAAAAGTGCATCTCGAAGTTTTCTTGCTTGGCACAAGCCACCAATAAGAGTGGTATAGGTAACAGTATCTGGAAGCAATCTTTTTCTAGACATTTCCTTAAAGAGACTCATGGGCTTCATCTATGTTTTTGATCTTACAGTAACCATTAATCAAGATGTTATAAGTGATAACATCAGGAGCGCAACCCCTACTGACCATAACATCATACATTTTCCTTGCATCATCTGCTTGGCCACAAAGACAGTACCCATCCATTACAGAATTGTAAGTGGCAACACCAGGCACCACACCTCTTTGGATCATCAATTCAACCACAACTTGTGCTTCTTTGGCCTTTCCTTCTTTACAAAGTGCATCAACTAAAATGTTAAAAGTTTTAACATTTGGCCAGATTTTCTTACCAACCATTTCATTCAACAATCTTGTAGCTTCTTCCCATTCACCTAAACTAGATACACCTTGAATTAATGACGTGTAAGTGACGACATCTGGTGAAATACCTTTACCTATCATTTCCAAAAAGAGCTTGAAAGCCTCGGTTACTAGTCTGTCCTTGCAAAGGCTATCGATGATCATGCTGTATTGCACTAGTCCAGGCTCAAAACCTCCTATTTTTTCCATCTTTCTGAGCAAAAGAATAGCAGCACTAGTGTTTCCAATTTTGCATAGTCCATTCATTACAATGCCAAATGTAATGACATTGGGTTGGAACCCTTTCTCCACAATTTCATCAAAAAACTTAACTGCCGAAATGATCTTAGCATTTACACAAAGCCCGTTGATCAGGGTATTGAAGGTTGTGATGTTTGGTTCATAACCAAGTTTCAATAGATTCCCCAAAATAGAAAAACCCAAATCAACTCGATTCAACTTACAGAAACAATTAATCACAACGTTAAGTGTAAACTTATCAGGCTTGACGAACCCAGATTCTAACAAATTCATTTTCCTAAACAGAGAAATCACGGTGAAGTAATGCTTAGTTCTTGCAATTGAAGTTAAAAGTTGATTAAATTGAACAATTGAGGGCAAAGGTCGCATTCGAAGCATGTGATCAAATTGAGCTAGGGCATCATCATCATCGTCAACATTAGCAAACCCAAGTTGAAATTGGTCTTCCGCAGAAGCAGTGATATGAATATGAGAAGAGCGATTCAGTAAGATTGCAAGAAAACAAGGAAATTGAGAGAAAATACCCTTGTGAAGACGATCACAAACACCATTTCTGAAAACCACAGCAGCATCGGCACTTCTCGCCATCATCGTCATCTCTCTCTCTCTAACAAATTTCTCCACAAAACTCAGACGACGGGTTTCGTTTTTTCTGTTTTACCAAGCCAAAAAAAGGGCAAATTAAAAATTAAAAATTAAAAATTATCCTGAGGATTATATTTGCATAATAAATAAGGGAGTAATTTATTATACAAATATAAATCTAAAAGATAATTTGTTATGTAAATATAAATCTTAGGTGGCAAAATGTAATTTCTCAAATTTTAAGAAAAATTTATATTTTAGTCAAAACTCAAGGAGTGTTGGTAATTTGTCCCCCCAAAAAAAAATGAAGTGTTACAACGCGCACACAGGCCTTTCATATCAGTTTTAATTTTGCAATTTTTCTTTGCGGGCGCTTGCCTTTAGTCTTTAATCGGATTGGACGATACTGATCAACTTGTGAGGGTTCATCATGGATCTTGTTTTGATAATATGAACCGTTCAATGTGTAGAACTCGTCAAGTATTATATGTTTATAAAAAAATCGCGTTGATCGGATATCGATAACTATGTGATCAAATCAGTTTTGTAAAAAAAAAATAGACGACAAAAAATTGATAAGATGAGATAGCTATCGATATCCGATCAACGTGATTTTTTTACAGGTATATAGTACTCGACAAGTTCTACCCATTGAACGGTCCGTATTATCAAAATGGAACCCGTGATAGGCCACCCACGGACCGAACAACACCGTCCAGTTCGATTAAGAACTGGAGGCAAGTTACTCCCTTCTTGCTCTATGTTTCTTGAAAGGGTTTGGACTGTCGGCCTGTTAGTTGGACTGGACAGTTATTCAAGTTGATTCGTAAAATATATTATTTTTTAGAAGATTAAATTAATTGGATAATAGATAACACATTTTAAAATTAATTTTGTATTAATTATTTATTTTTTTATCGTCTATTTTTTTTATACAAAATTAATTCGAACACGTAATTGTTGTTATTCAATCGATTTAATTTTTTACAAGAATAATTTACTTAACAAATTTTAAAATATGAACGGTTCAAATTATTAAAATATGACTCAAGAGTGGTCCCACTAGGCTAGACAACACCTGTCTAAGTCAGATAAAAGACTGGAGAGAAACCCGTCCCTTTCTAGGATGTGAATAGTTTTGGAAAAATCTTGTCGAAAACAGTTTGCATAAATAATTTGCCAAATAAATTTTGATTTTTTTTTTAAAAAAGGACAAGATTAACATTAATTTTGATTTGATTGTGTTTTTATTTGGAGATATTACAGTTCAGTTGAGATATTGAAAAATAAGTACAAATATATGGTAAATTTTATAAATATTAATAATTATAATTATAATTTTTTATTTATAAATTTGTACTAAATTTATGGAATTACCACTTAAAGGTAATTTTTCTTTTTATATTTTCAGTTTTTTCTTTTGATATTCTAGAAAACCAATTTCCATTCTGGTGTTTACACTCTCATCAGTTTGATATTGGGCCACTTTATGAATAAAACTCTCCTTTCTTTTGCACCCAAAAAAGGAAAAAAAGAAAAGAAAACCAGTTTCCAAATTAATTTAATGGAATATAAATATTAAACAACTTTGAATAATTTGAAATCTCAACAGTTTCTATTTGAGTTTTCATTTATATCTTCTTCTTTTAATTATTATTATTTTTACTTTCCTTTATCTTAACAATTTTTTACTTAAATTCAAAATTTAAATACAACCTCAAGGAAATGGTAACTAAAAGTTCCAGTGTCCCAACCATTACTTTTTATTTCATATTGTTACCACGCATAACTAATGTTAGCTCAATGTTTACGCCATGAAGGTAGTCTTCTAAGGCTTAATTTTTTTAAAAAGTTCCATACTTTTTGGTCTAGAAATGCAATCAAAAAAATTATTATATTTATATTAATTGTTCGGAAGAAAAAAAAAATTACGTGTATAAAATAAAATAGAGTGATTATAAAATATTTAACAAAGTAGAAACATGGCCTAATGGTTAAAAAAAGTCAATTTTCTGTTCATAACTGGTTTGGTGGTTCATCTAAATCAGACAATGTGTCAACTGATTGTACTAACTAGTCTGCTCTAGCTTTGAAAACATTGGTATCAACAATCTTGCTACTTACTTTATGCTTCCAACCTGAGCTCCAATTGAGCATCCTAAAGGAGCTCTATCAAGCTCATTGGTTGAGTCATCTCTAAAACTTTCAATCATTGACAAAATCACAAAGACAATTACAAAATGAAACAACCTAACTTGTTATTGAGGAAACTGAGCTTCTCTTCGGTTGATATTTCTGACCAACTGAGAAAAACTAATTAAAAGAAAATTGAGCGTCTCTTCGATTGATATTTCTGACCAACTGAGAAAAACTAATTTAAAGAATTGCTTTCCAAGGAATTGGGAACCCCATAGCATACAACAATATGATGTAGTTAGCAGAATTTGGGTTGCCGAGGACAAAAATTTCAAAACAATACAAAGATTCAACTACTAAGTTCAATAGAACAAGACATAACGTTAAAACCGGAAATTCCAAGCACACACTACTGGAAAATACACCTTTGATGACAAAAAATGACGATAAAAATAATTTAGTCGCAAAAGTTACACATTCTAGTTACAAAAAATAATTTGGTCGGCAAATGTACACACTTTAGCTACTAAAAAATATTTGGTTGGCAAATGTACAATCTTTAGCTACTAAAAATAATTTAGTCGGAATTTATTTTACTTTTGACAACTAACTGAGTTTCAGTCATTGAAAACAGAGTTTTGGGTGACTAATAAAAATTTGACCCTAAATGTATAATCTTTAGTTACAAAAAAATAATTTTGTCGGTATTTATTTTAGTTTTGGCAACTAATTGAGTTTTAGTTGTTGAAAATAGAGTTTTGGGCGACCAGTTCAAATAAAAAAAAAAAAAAAAAATTTGGTCCCTAAATATACAATCTTTAGCTGCCATAAATAACTTAGTCAGTTATTTAACTTTTAGCTACTAAATTTTAGTAGGCAATTGTAATTGGGAAATGCTAGGTGTCATGAAGAATTTTCATGAAAACTGTCATGAAAACCATCTGCACCGTTAGATCAGGTATGTGTCTCATGATCCAACGGTGCAGACAGTTTTCATGACAATTTTCATAAAACGTAGCAGGACCCATTGTAATTAGCCTACAAGGTGTTCTATATCTCCATCATCCATGGCCGATATTGATGATTAGAAAAGGAGAAGTTGAAGGATAGACCTAGATCTATTAATGTCTCTTCAACCATGCATTCGGATCCATGAACTCAATACAAACTTGAGAGATATTAGAGCTGAAGACAAAAAAGAGAGGCGGCAAATTCGCATTTGGCATCATATCTTTTATATCAAAGCATGAGTTGTTTATGACCATTATATCCCTTACTTTTTTAAAGTTAATAATCATAAGCATATAACAACTTTATGTCATCAAATAATCTCTACAAGAACACGAGAGAAGTATTTCAACTAGAAATCCTCCATGAAAAAAAAAAAAAAACAAACAAACAAACAAACTGTAAGATACAGATAATGTAGCGGGTAAAATGATTCAAACCATACATTGTGTAAAGAATCCGAAACGAAGAACCTTGTGGGTAAATCACGTGCTTGACAACCACGAACTATAAACTTCCAACAATGGAGTGATACCATAGTATGAGTATCATCCACTCTAGTCACAGCGCAAAGGCCTGATTGTTTTTCATGTGGGAGAGAGTTAGAGAGAGAGAGTATGGAAAAAATGTTACGGGTAAAAAAACATAACATATCTGATATTTATTAAATAGATCATATATATAATCTCACATCCTTATCTCCTATTAGGATAAGATAGATTGGATGCAGATAGTTGGTTATCCTAACAGGATAAATAGAAAATTCAACTTACATGAATAATTTGAATGGGCCATGGGTCACATGGGCCCCCAAATCCGGGTCCAATACCCCGGCCCAATTTCCAACATCTCCCACTCGCACATGAGTTGGCATGACACTGCCACATCTCTATCTCAATCTCCCCAAATATTTAACAATCTCATACTAGCCAATAAACCGTGCGACCGCTGAGAAACACCTGCATGTGGGAGCTCTATACTAGAACTCAAAAATGAGCCAGCATAGAGACATCAACCCAAAAATAAAATATACCCCAAACCCATCTAATCACACTGGTTCAAAAAATATCTTTAATCCCTCAAAAGTGCATGTTTGACCCTCTCAATTCTTGCAATATATTCACACTTAATCCGCCTCTCATACAGAGCGATGTGAATTGCCGGCAGTGAATATACAACAGTGGTATAATACTAGATGATCTTTCCTTTGCCCTCATACTATTTAGTTTAGAATTGGCCGCTTTCCCAGTGATGTCCTTTAAGGCCAAATCATACATGACCGCATGCAACATATCAAAGTAGCAAAACATCAACCCTTTACCTTATGACATAGTCAAAAGTCACAAAAGGATATATAAATAAAAGTCATATCAATAATGACATGTAAGACTCACACAGTGAGGAAACGAGGATCCATTCTCTCACCCCATTACTCAATCACCAAGCACATGTAGTATGAATACATGCTACGGTAGAGTAACTCTTCCAAAGAGTGACGTCATACTCAATACATTGTACAAATCTTAGTCTAGTCGTTTTTTAGCGCCTAACCCAAATTCTCTATTTGCTTGTCTTCCAGGCTCCAAATGAGATCTCGCATTTGGCTAATCATAACAGGCACAACATGGAAAGTGGGTACTCACATCCATGTTTGGTCCTTAACACGAACTCATCTTGGTTGTAACCAAGGCGACATACATAGTGGATAATTTAAGCCTTTCTTGGCTCTAAATAAAAATAAACCAGTAGTCTCATCCTTACTCACTCCCAAGTGCCAAGGGCGATTGCTCATGTGAGTGAGCCAATCTTGCCTGCTGACATCATCATCTGCTAATCATTATGACACAAACCATAATAGTGTCAACATCCCATCATCTTGCAACAAATAAGTGATCGATTTTAAAAAACACGACCACAGTCTGTGCAATTCTAGATTCCAAGCATAAGCCTTATCAGCACCTCTTGCAATAAGCATATACAAAGGAATCCACAATGTGCGCCTCACATGAAGTGGTTCAAGATCACTACTTCTGGCGCAATTACCTATCTAAAGATATTTGGTGACCAATCTGCGTTCTTTCAAGATGCGCCCAACTAGCGCATTGAATCTTACAATGGGCAAATTTATATACTACTAGTAAAGCATTCTATCTACAGTCTAATGAGCAAGGTCAATGTCTAAACTACTCAGTTGACCATTTACCAAAGATAACACTCATTATGCCAAATACGCCCACATAGCATACTTCAGGCTCCCATAACAAAAAAAGATCAAGGAATATAGGTCATCTGTTTCTCTCAAAGACAATTTGAGGATTCACTCAATAGCTAAGGCTCTGGCTTTTACCGATAGGTAAGTCAATGGGTTTGCAATTTTGCATCTAGAATCATTCTAGGATGTTTCTTATGTAAGTCATCAAAGACAAACTGGGAATTCTCTCAAAACAATCCTTAAGGATCGTACATCCGAGTATATAAATTGCATCACTCATGTCTATCATCTCTAAAACAGAGGACTACCCTAGGTGACGACAACCTTATAAATTCCTGGCTCATAATGACTAAGTAAGGAAAAACTTCTTTTGGACCATTGATCATGCCTCAGTGGTCTTCATCATAGTTTTAAATCGCGGTATCGGGTAATGTAACGATATCGGTCGCGGAGTATCGGTATCGGTAGTATCGACCGGTACGTATCTGGAATCGGGTGTCGAGGCCGTGAAATTTTAAAAATCATTAACAATCCCTCTAAAACTCAATTTTATGCATTTTTTTGACTCTTTCAAACTTAATTTACCACATTTTTATCAAAATTTTGATATGTAGGAACACTTTTAGACTTGATTTGATTTCAATATTTATTTTTCTTGTCTTTTTTTCCTTTGTTCAACTGAAAAAAAAAAATATATATATATATATATTAATATAAACAGAGGTATAGGTGTATAAACAAATAAATAAAAATAAATAAAACTAAACAATGGCTTAAAAAGGTACAGAACAGTGGCTCAAAAAGAACCTATCCTCTCTCTCTCTCTCTCTCTCTCTCTCCCCCTCCCTCTCTCTCTATCTCTAAAAAATGCAGAACGGTGGCTTACAAAGGCAATTACGAAACAGAAAAAAAAAAAATATTTTGAAATGTGAAACATAAACAGAGCATAGAAAGAAGCTTGCAAGTTGCATAAGTTCTGTGGTTGCCCACTTTTGTTAAAGCTCCACCCAAGAATATAGTGGTTGGTTACTAGTAAATAGTCCAGTAGAAGAAGAGAAACCATCATACAAAGAATCCAAAAGAATTGAAGAAATATTGATGTGTGTTGACAAGAGAGGTTGGTCTGGTTTTGGACTTTGAATAGGAGCCAACAACTCAAGGCGAACAACAGTACAACAACAACAAATAGAAACAGAAACAACAAAACAAAAACAGGGCATAAAACAGAGCACAATTTCATCTATACCGACGATGGCAAATCTGTATCGGAACTGTATTGCTCCATGTATCGGATTCAAGCCGATATGCATCGGGAATCGGACGATACGGCTGTGAATTTCATTCCCACCGGTATACCGATCCATATCCGAATCGGCGGTCTAATTTTTCGGTACAAATCGGCTGGTTCGGTACGTACCGGCCGATATTTAGAACTATGGTCTTCTTCAATCATCGTTGGCCTATCATGGCCCTACGAAATCTAAGAACCAATATTTGGATAACTGTTTTAGGCTGTAAAAGATTTATTAGAACTAGCAACCTTTTTGCGCTCCTAACTTTTCACTATAAAAGCAGAAGGTAAATCTCTACGGATCTATTTATCCAATTCTCCAACAAGAAGTTGGGTCACAACGTCCACAAATCAATGTTCCGAACTTATGTCAATTATAGCCTAAGTCGAAATAACCTCATTCCCTAGGAGGAAGTCTTCTCATGGTCTACGTCTTCCTCAATGGTGCGACTTTTCGGTATCTAGCGAGCCTTATGCCTCAACAATGACTATCCAAATTGCGCATAACTTTAGAACAGCTTTGCGTCATAATGGAAAGTCAACCAAATTATAGAAATGGTTAATTCTCAAAGACTTTGTCTTAAACTGCGCAACATTGATCTACTTTCGAAAAATAGGAGACTAGAGCCTTTGGCATTATCCTAGGTTCTTTATCATCTTACGGAGCAATCATGAATGTTTCCCTCTCAATCACCCAGTGATGATGTGAAAAATTTTCACATTCGCTAACAAAGAATGTAGAGTATTCTGCTCTAATGGAGTAATACACTAGTAGGCACATCGCTCCCACTGTCCCTCGGATATTGAAAATTTCTTTCCATTCTTAACTAGGCTACATAAAGCGTTATACTTAGAATTCTCTATCTTATAGCGCTCCAAAACTCTATTCACGTCACCTTTACTAAGAAAACTTTATGTGACTTAGTTACACTACCACAAAGCTGCTTACCTATATACACATAATCCAGAGGGTTTACATGACAGCATACAATAATGCGCCACATGACCCTAAGTGTTTACAAGACAGCATACAATAATGCGCCATAGAACCCTAGGTCTTAACTTCGCAACCTTATGAGAAGTAAAATAAAGATAAGCTGCGTAACGGTTACAGATCGCCCATAGATGGCTCTCCGTTAACCCATTACTCAAATGGAGTGTAAAATCTGATGTGAAGGGCACTTAGTTAAGGATATAGGCAACAAACTATAGTGCAATTCCCAATTAAGAAACATTTTGTGCCATCATCCACCTAACATTAACAATATTGAATTACTTATCTCTACTACACCATTGTGTTGCTAAGTACTAGGAATAATCAATTTTTTAAGCATTCATTTCTCTTAATAGAACTTTCTAAAATAACTCAAATAGATACTCGCCACCTTGGTCAAAACTAAAAGAACGAAAGCTGTTATCTGATTGATCTCAACCTCATATGTGTAATGTCAAAAATCATCTCAAAACTTTTGACTTATGGGAGATCAGATAGTCTTGACTTAGATGCGTATCATAATTTATAAATGTGTCAAGATTAAGGCTAGCTATCATACCCTTATACATATCCAGTCATAAATATCATAGTGGACTAAATTGGCCAATATAAATGCCCTTCTGTGGCTTTCTTACTTACTTGTGCGCAATCATTGCGAACAAAGTTACACATTCACATGAGAGCAGGATGTCACAAGTGGGTGGGCTTGAGAGGGCCTACTCAAACCATCCATGTCATTTTCTCATTAATGGGATTAAGTATAATAAGCCACCGGTTCATGACCAATGTCATAAACTAATTCCAATCATCCTAATGTGTGAGTTCTTGAAGACAAGTTTTAAAGGTTTAGGCCCAGCTAGGTAATGACTTACGACTAATTCATGTTCACTAGATCATAAAAGGATGTCATGGAGATATCAAGTGCGCCTAAGTCACAAATTTAACTAGTAAGTGCTAATCCCCCTGCACCTTCAAGTCAATTTTATTCTCCATACACTTTACTGCATCTAGTTAAAAGATGATGATACTCCTCTTGCCATCTCTGTTTCTTGCTTCATAGTTACTTGCAATTAATTCTACTATCCACAAGAAGGATAGAATGAGCTATCAATCTATGACATCTCCCGAAGTAACTTAAGTGTGAATTAGGCTAAAGTGTCTAATTCAACACAATGCTCTCATGAGCCATGCGTCAAATTCCTAGAGTCATAACAACCTTGTCGGCCTTGATCTTTTCATTATTATGCTGCAACGTTTGTGCTTAGTTGTAAACGTTATTCAAAAGCATTAGCCTAGCTAAGGAATCATACAAAGAAGCACCTCCTCATGTCTCACACTCAAGTGTGGAGACAGTAAGTGTCTAGACTTAGACAAGTTGGCAATGCTAATAGATTTTGCAGCCACTTGGCGCTAATCTTTTCACTTAGTGTTAATAGATTTTTGCTGTTACTAAGCGCTAATCTTTTAACTTCAAGTGATACTTTAATGCACACTATTATAGTGTGTGAAATTTTGCTCCATCCACTCCCAACAGTTGGGTAGAGAGCAAAACACTGCTCATACTGGCTACTCATCTTACACTTAATGACTAATTCATTTAAGCTCGCATTTCTTGGATGACATGACTCTTGAATGTTACTTCATCCAATGATGCAACATTATTACAAGTTAAATTACAAAGTCAATCTGCATAGCTCAATAGTCAAGATCTTATACAGATCTATTGAGGGCTTACTAATTTCACAACTCCAAAACTTACCAATCAAAACTACGTAGCATGCAGCTAACCATAGCACACACATCAGTTTTTATTGTGCCAAACAAGGCAACCTAAACCACGACGACTTTGAGTCATGTTTCCTTACTTTGGCTTAATTAAGATCTGACCTAAAGTCTCCAAGACTTTTTGCTCATCTAAAGAATATGATTGCATTATTCACATTTGAACATCTCTACTAAGTCTAAGTCAACCAAATTAACTTCCATAAACTAAGTCAATTTAGAGAGAAATTAGCATTGGGATTAATTTGATTAGCATAATATAATTTTGCCCCAAAAATCTAAATTAAATAGTGACAATCTTACACAAGTCTCAAGATCGAAAATCCGCTATGCTCGTATCATCTCTTGCGCCACAGGTGACAATTATCCAAATTTAATTTAATTCATGCGCAAAATATTAGTTTTCGGGATGTAAATCTACAAAGATATCTCTCAACCGAACAACCTCCCGCTGACTATGGCATGTCTAAAGCATGATAAAATATTCTAATTCCATACAATAGCATCTTAATGTAGATTCACAATCAACTCATACTATGTTACATTTAATAATAGAATTTAAATAAATAGAAAAAATTAATCATGCTATTCTAATCACAACATATTAGAAACTCTAGGAAAAAATTAACAATATACAATGTTTAATATTCAGATTATGCCATAACAGAAAATACATCACTTATGAAATTTTTTGGTATTTTAAATAATTAATAAATACACAAAATCATAAATAAATATTCTAGAATTTGGGAAAAAACAAAAATATACCAGTAAATAGTACACCATTACAGTAGTCTACTATAAAAATTTTAGCCTCAAAAGCTTAGTCATGCAACCCCAGAAGCATTTTAAAGCAAAAATAATGAATTATTATTTCAGGAAAATTATTTTTTATTTTTATAAAATTTTGAAAATTTTACAGTAGATAAAAAGTTTAATTCTAAGTCCAACATTACCAATGACGCTCAAGACAAAGTTATAACGAATTATTTAAGACCATTTAACGCGATTCAGGATTTAAAGGAAAAACAAACAGTGCCTTAACATCCAACTGCCAAGCATGCCAAGCCGGCGCGGAAAAATGGCGCGGCTCGGCTCGGCACAGCGCACAATGCGCACGTGGCAGCGCACATGGCACGGCTCAAAGCAGCGCGGCTCAGCGCGCGTGTAGGAATGGCGCAAGTCGAGCGCGTAGGAAGCGCACCTAGAGCATGCGGCTGACGGTGACGCGTGTCGCATGCGTGATGGTGCATGGAAACGCGTGGGAAGCGCGCCTGGCGCATGAAAGTGCGTGGCCCGCCACTGATGGCGTCATTTGGCAGGTGAGACTCACGCGCCGTCTTCCGAGGTGTTTTCTAGTCCAATTTTGGTACTGCCGAACTCCATTTTCCAAAATAAAAATATTTGTGGACTCAAAAATGGCATTTAACAAACACAAATAATGGAGTGTAGCACACTCTCTCTCTAATGAGAGTAGAAGTGTAGAAACTTTGTACTTCATCTTCTTCCTTAAGCCACCAAAAACACAAAACGAACTCAAATTAGGGTTTGCTTTTTCTCATCAACCATAAGTTGGAATCTGACCCATAATATACCATTTCGAAGGTATCAAAACAAGGATTCCAAATATATAATTTTCATAATATAAAAACAAAGCATGTAAAACCAGAATGCAGTCAAAGTTACGAAAAATTAAATATGAATCTCTGTTTTTCTCAAAATTCGACCTTTGGATTTTCATGAAACTTTGCAGATATATTCTACATGAAATATACTACAACATACGTAAATTTCAAGTTGATCAGAGAACGTTCGAAAAAATATTAATTTTTCATGCATATATCATGTGTATATGTATATATAATTATATACATATTTTAATGTACAAAAAACAAGCACGAAAATGCCCATTTATGGCTCTAATACCTATGTAAGATACAGATAATGCAGCGGGTAAAATGATTCAAACCATACCTTGTGTAAAAGAATCCGAAACGAAGATCCTTGTGGGTAAATCACGTGCTTGACAACCACGAACTATAAACTTCCAACAATGGAGTGATACCACAGTATGAGCATCACCCACTCTAGTCACAGTGCAAAGGCTTGATCGTTTTTCATGTGGGAGAGAGTTAGAGAGAGAGTATGGGAAAAAATGTTATGGGTAAAAAAAACATAACGTATCTGATATCTATTAAATAGATCAGATAATAATCTCACATCCCTATCTCCTAATAGGATAAGATAGATTGGATGGAGATAGTTGGTTATCCTAACAGAATAAATAGAAAATTCAAATTACATGAGTAATTTGAATGGGCCATGGGTCATGCCACATGGGCGCCCAAATCCGGGTCCAATATCCAGCCCAATTTCCAACACAAACAAACAAACTTTCACAAACTACAAGTGGAAGAAAAAAAGAAGCATGAAAATTTCAGAGCAACAAAAACAGACCTTTATATAAAATATCATATCAAAGCAAGTATGTTCTTCCCACTCACCTAAACTAGATACACCTTGAATTAACAACGTGCAAGTGACGACATTTCTGAAAAGAACTTCAAAGCCTCGGTTACTAGTCTGTCCTTGCAAAGGCTACCGATGACCATGCTATATTCCACTAGTCCAGGCTCACAATCTCCTTTTTCTTCCATCTTTCTAAGCAAAAGAATAGCAGCACTAGTGTTTCCAAATTTCCATAGTCCATTCATTATAGTGCCGTAAGTAATGAAATTGGGTTGGAACCCTTTCTCCACAACTTCGTCGAAAAACTTAACATGTTACCATTAAGACAAAACCCTTTGATGAGGGTATTGAAGGTTCTGGTGTCTAGTTCATAACCAAGTTTAAATATTTTCCCAAAAACAGAAAAACCCAAATCAATTCGATTCAAGTTACAGAAACAATTAATAACGATGTTAAGTCTACAAACATCATAGAAATCCAATTTTGTAAACAGAGAAATTGCAGTGGAATAATGCTTTGATCTTGTAATTGAAGTTAACAGGTGGTTGAATTGAAGAATTGAGGGCAAAGGTCGCATTCGAAGCATGTGATCGAACTGAGTTAGGGCATCATCATCGTCAATGTTAGCAAACCCGTATTGGAATTTGAAATTCTATTTGGAAGACAAATTAAAGTGGGTTTGGGAATAAAATAAAGCTAAAACACAAGGGAATGAAGTGAGAATACCTTTTTGAAGATCACAAACACCATCTCTCAAAACCATACTAGCTTTTGGGATTTTCTGCATCATTATCGTCAGCTTCTCTCTCCAAAACTCTCATCCTCTCTCACACTCGTCTATGCACACCAGATAAAGCACCAAAAAAATAAAAAACAAGTACATGCGCACTAGTTGCATTTGTATATGTTTTTATTTTTATTTTTATACTCTTAATAGAGCCAAAATATTCCATAATTTTTTTTTTTTATATAAAAAGCCAAAATGTAATTCACAGATGGTTATTACTTAAAATGTTATCCACATTTCGCATTGAAGTTAGAGTGCTTATTTTCAATATATGTATCTTGTATAATATTGTTTGGTTGTGTATTGTATTCGATTTATTAGATAATGAAAAATAAAGAAGGCAATCATTCAACAGATACCATTAAATAAAATATAACAAGTACATAACAAAAGAATTTATTAGTAATAGATTAAGCTAGAAACATTTCTATTTATGCACATACTCCATATTATGTGCCTACTCTCTATTTTCTTTTTCTTTTTCTTTTTTTTTCAAATTTTTATTCAAATCTATGATCCAAACACAATATATAAGGAAATTATGAAAAATGTATTACAAATCATTCTATGGACAAATTAAGAAATGATTGTTCCATTGTATTTTATTTTATTATAATGAACCAAATACTACACAAGTGATTATCACACATATCTATTGAAGAGCAAGATGATGTACTTTCAAATCATTATACAAAATAAAGAAAAAATAGAAACATAAATCTTACATTAGGTTGTTCTTTGAATCCAATCCATTAATGGTATTCTTTTTTTCTTTGTTGATCAAATAAGAAAAGTAAAATCAAATTTAACTTGGAGTGCATTCATACTAATTTGATCAACTCTTTTTGATAGTTTTGCATCACAAATTAAAATCGCGCAGGGAGGGGGGGAATTAAGCCTAATCCCAAGGGTAAATTTTAATTTAACCCTAAATATATAATTCAAACAACATTTTAGAGAGCCTGCTAGCAATGGCCAACATGTATATACAGCTTTGATAAAATGAATGTCTAATAAAGAACAAACATAAACTTATATACGACATGAAAGAACCATCTATGCACACAAATGTTTCCATTTCTTAAAGATGAAGATGCTTTCTAACTCTCACAGGAAATGGGGATAATAAGAGACGAGCATTGGATCAGGAACGATAAGGGGCAACTTGTCGATGTACATTATTAGTCTCTTCAAATTCTCCGTTGCAATTGAAGACAAGTCCATGACATCACAGTCGCCAGGGACAGAACAAGGAGAAGATTATGGGGGGCCATGGCTCCCCTGTTTCTATGAAAAATATGGTTTGTCATAGCATTTTAAAAATATATCTCATTTTATACATAAAATGGCCCTAGTATAAAAAATACCTATCTCATTTTTCTTCTATCTTGCAGTCTCTTTTTATTTTGCATCAAAAAAATTTCATCCTATTAGAAATTACTTCTATGGTATTTGAATTTTTTGTGTATATACATAATTTATATATCGTATTATACATACATGCGTGCATATGTATATGGTGAAATTTTTTTATTTGTCTTTTGACTCCTTCGGTGATGAAATCATGATTCTGTTCCTGACAGTCGCTGGTGTAGACCCAGAGGTCACCAGAGTCTACTCTTATGAGACTGTTCGATATAAAGGACATGACTGAGACCGAGTACACTTGAAACAACAATTCAACTCTACATTAGTAGCCTCTAAAATTTTAAAGCAACGAAATCCAGTTCTAAACATCCATGAAACTCAAAACAGACAAAAAGATGCCCACCAATTTGTAGTTGTGGGATATGCAGAGCATGTAATCAAATATTGAAGTATTGTGGAAGCGAAATGCAATCATAAAATCAAGTTAGAAAACCCTTGTGCAACGCGCGCATACACACACTAATATGTATATACACATTTTATAATATCAATAATTCATATATCCACCAAGCATCATATATTTCCCCTATCACCAAGCAATTATCTTTAAATGACAATACTATCCAGTATCTTCCATGATCCAAAGAGTATTATTGGTTTTTTTTTATTATTTTTGATGTGGATATGATATGCATGTACAAGAATCCATGCCCAATAAACACAAAGAAGATCTTGTTGAAGAATCTAACCATTGTAACTGGGGTAGGAAATTCATGATCCCTTTGATATTTCTGCTCCCAACAAAAATGTTTCAAACTCTAATCATTGTTTTCATTTTTGTGCGAAAACAATTTTCGAAAATTTCAAAACAACCTTTTGGCGTTTAGTCAAAAGTGGGTTGTTTTTAGAACATTTTCCTGAAAACCGTTATTAGAAATAGTTTGCCAAAAAAGTTTTCCTAAAAATGAAAACAAAAAGCAGAAAAGGAAAATACAGCCAAATATAAACCTCAGTCCACTCACCATAAAATTCTCTAATGCTAGCTCTCTTTTCATAAAAAAACGTGGCAGTCTTGCCGTCCTTATCAGCTGCAAGCACCCATCAGCGTCATAGCCTTCCAAGTTAGTAAAACAATAAATCTCTCCAAGTAAAAGAGAATTAGCACAAAAACATGAAATGCACAAAAAAATATAAATGACCTTATAAATAAGGATTCTAAGCCATCCAAGGGCACCCGCTAGGTGACAATCAGTCCATTGAACAAGAACGAGAAAAATGCGAGAACACGGACTGTGTGATAATCTTATATGAAGGCAGGTATCATCATATTCCTATGGATAATTAGAAGCCCTGTATCTCAAAAGAAAACAATGAAGTCAAATAAAGAAAAGCAAACTAAGATCTAAGAAAAAAATTCGCACATTGCTTGTCTTCGAGCAAATTATCTAGGCAATTTGAGTAGTGTGGTTCAATCTAATTTTATCCAATCTAATAATCACATTAGAAGTCGATGAATACAAGAGAAGAAACTAATTAGGGTACTAGGAATGACTGATCAAATATGAATACAAAAAACATTAGTTTAAAAAAAGAAGCATAAAACTGCAAGAGGGGGAAGGGCCAATTGATCCTGCTTTTTAAATCCTATTTTATGATTCAATCCAACAAAAACATGTCACAGTCTAACAGTTTGGCAAAACGTTCCAAATTAACAAATAAAAATGCAAAGTTGCCTAAGCAATCCATTAAATATCCGGTGATTACAAAAATATAAATGCATGCGTCACACGTATAAATAAATTTATATACAAATTTTTTGGTAAGAGTGTAAAGGCACACATATTACATAAATCCGGCTGCCAATGAAATCAATATTTTCTAAACCTATTTTAATGATTCAATTCAACAAAAACAATTTATACACTACCAGTCTACTGGTTTGGAAAAGCTTTCTGAACTAACATTTAGTAAGGCGAAGTTTCCTAATTTGGGGCAAAATTGTTTCCATCTCATATATATAAATAAATGGGCGAATTACACTAACGGTCCCTACAATTTAGAACTTGTGTCATTTTGGTCTTTGATCATTCAATTGTAATATATTTGACTCTGAATTTTAAATTTCGTTTCAAATAAAGACAATTGAAGACATTGTTACTCCATTTGAAGGGCAAAGTCGTCAATTTGATAAAATATAAATTAATTTGACAAAAATAAATGTCAAAAAATTATTTTTAAATTTTTAAAAATTAATTCTACCCACCAAAGATAAAACTATATAAAAATAATAAATATTTTACATTTTTATTTTTTTACCAAAAATAATTTTTAGTATGTGTTTGAATGATGATAATGTAATGAGTGGTTGTTTTTGTTAATATTTTTGGATGACTATCATGTAATAGATGGTTGTATTTGTTGTTAACAGATATTTTTAGATGGTTATCATATAATCGATGATTATTAGGCTATGTATAATCAACATGTTTAATATATGAAATATTTTTAGTTTTAAATTTTTTGATTTAATATATTGGTTTAATAATGACATCAAAATTGTTACCATGTGTGACTTTTGAAAAAAGAATAACTAATTTAACGAAAATAAATATAAAAAAAAAAATTTCTATATAAAAATGATGTGCTTTTAATTTTTTTCACCTATTTAATTTTTAGTTTCTTAGAAATTTTTTATGAAAATAGGTTCTGAAAACCAAACCAAACAAAACTTTATAACAAAAAAAAGTTTCAATATTATTTACTAAAAAAAAGGACCATTATATTTCAAACAACATATAAATTAATCAATACAAAATAAGTTATATGACGACTTTGCCTTTTAAATGGAGCAACAATATCTTCAATTGTCCTTATTTGAAACAACATTCAAAATTCAGGGTTAAATGTAACACAATTGAAAGGTCAGAGACCAAAGTGACACAAGCTTCAAACTATAGAGACTATTAGTGTAATTCGTCGTAAATAAATATACATACAAATTGTTTTGGTAAGAATATATAGGCACGCATTAGATTTTTAAATTTAGGATAACCAGAACTTTTTTTGGCCTTAAAATGTCAATTCTCATCAGAAAGAAAACAAACAGAATAACAAATAAATGTAAAAAATGATCATCAAGAAACAAATGCATAATTGAGAATGATATACTATATATAAAATAAAAGTTTACATTTCTTGAGAAGTATCACTAAACAAGAAAAAAATATCACTAAAAAGAAAATAAGAAAAAATTCAATCTTGTTTAATTCAAGTTCTATGCAATGAAAAATCAAGAGCATGTTTGGTTGTTTGAAAATGAGAATCAAATCATTTTAGAATTGAATGTTTTATACATAGCTAGTTAAATATATTTAATTGTCAAAATTGAAACAAATAAAAAATCTTTAAACTAACTTTTTTTTACTGAACTTTAAAATTGCTTATCCCTTTTACACAAAGAATGACCTAATTTACAATTAGAGGATTCAAATCCTATTCTCTTGAACATTTGCATAAAATTTGAACCTCAATATTCAATATTGGTTTTGTTTGTAATGATACCGATGTATTCAAAAGCAAAGAGAAAGCAAATGATGACAGAGAGTATTGAAATGTACGTATCGAACCGATCATCTTAGAGATGAGTTTGAGCTTGTCCTGGGCCGGCCTCTTCGATGAGCTCTTTGACTTGGCCACTTGTGAGGCACTTCTCGATCATTTTTTATCTGGAGAGAAACC